TTACTCCTGTGTCTGTGTGTGTATGGGGAAGGACAGGTCACGATGCACACATTACTCCTGTGTCTGTGTGTGTATGGGGAGGGACATGTCACGATGCACACATTACTCCTGTGTCTGTGTGTGTATGGGGAAGGACAGGTCACGATGCACACATTACTCCTGTGTCTGTGTGTATGGGGAGGGGACAGGTCACGACGCACATGTGCAGGCCAGAGGACAACTCTGTGGCTCTATTCTCTCCTTCCACCATTTGGAAAACAGGACTGAGATGACAGGTTTGTGCCTTCAGTCACAGGAAGCTTTTGATATTTTGAAAGAGCAGGACAGAGTTCATTAACTGAATGTTCAAACATTTTGTGCATTTTGCTAAAATGCAGAGACTGACCGGGAAGTTCTGGAGTGCAAGCTACTGAGGGATTCTAATAATGGTGGTCCATGAACGAATGGTATCAAAATGCTTTGTCCAAAGATGGTATTTTATTATTTTTATTTATTTTGGTTTTTCAAGACAGGGTTTCTCCGTAACTTTGAAGCCTGTCCTGGAACTCGGTCTTATGGACCAGGCTGGCCTCGAACTCACAGAGATCCACCTGCCTCTGCCTCCAGAGTGCTGGGATTAAAGGCATGCACCACCACCACCCGGCTGATATTTTATTTTTTAAGATTTACTCTAATTGTGTGTGTGTGTGTGTGTGTGCGTGTACCCATAAAGTCAGATTCCCTGGAATTGGAGTTATAGGCGGTTGTGAGCTGCCTAACGTAGGTGCTGGAACCAGACTCAAAAAGTCCTTTTTAAGAGCAGAGGACACTCTTAACCACTGATCTATGACTCTTAGTCCCTGAAGGTGATGGTTTAAAATAGAAAATATATGTCTATCCAATTGGAATAAGTTTTACTCATTAGTTACAAAAAATATTTTTCTTATACTATATAATCTTGAACATGACATAACCACTACCGAGAAAATCAGAGAATTCAACTTGGTCTTTGTGAAGCAAGGGTGCGGTGTAAGAAGTATAGTCTGAAAGCTTCCAAGAGGAGTCCTTGGGGCTACAGCAGTAGCTTTGCAGCTGAGACCCTGGCTCCTTCCTCATGCAAGGTTGGTTTGCATGCCCGTAAACCAAAGAAGGACCCAGGGTTATGTAAGGAAACCCACAGAATAGTAGAAAAGACCCCTTAAAAGAAAGGTGTTGGTCAGGGCTCAACCTAATAAAGGAAGTATTACTGCTGAGCGTAAGTTAGTAAGTAACAAAAATCCTAACAACAACTTGGACTGTAAGATTATAACTAAAAATACACTCTTTGGCCGGGCAGCAGGAGGATCACTTAAACCCTGGACTTTTAGATCAGTGGATCCTGTCCCCAAAACAACTAAGTACAAAATAGGATCTTAAAATGAAAAGCTCACAATTATCTTAACAAACAAACAAACAAATAAAAAAACTCCAGGTGATTGTCCCTCCTGTTTAGCTAAATCTGTTTTTTTATTAACATCCTTCTATCTCAAAATAGTATCTCTCCATGGAAAGTCACACTTCCATCCATCAAGACAAAGGAGCCAGTTCTCCAAAGGAACTGCTGGTGTCAGGTTTCCGGCCAGGAGGATCTCCAACACCAGAGACGGGACAGTGCTTCCCTACCCCACTGCTTTCCATCATTACAGATGAAAGTTCTGGTCACTGCAGACATGACAGTTACAAAGTGTTCAACCCAACAGAGTTCTGCAGCTGGTGTGTAAGTCAGAACAGCTAAACCTCCTGTGACATCAACACAGGATGTTTTCTACAACATAGTAAATTCACAATGTCTGCATAATCCATGCACACAATACTCAAAAAATCTTTATGCAACATAATTTTAGATAGTGAGGACAGCCATGAAGCTCAAATCCAAAGCCCCGTCTCTGAACAGCCCTTGAGTATTAGAGAGGCTCCAAATAACGTGCACACACACACACACACACACCCTACATACTTACCACACCGACAGACACACATACACACACCACACCACACATACTCACATACCATACACTTACCACACACACTTATCAGACACCACACACTTACCACACCACACACACTACAGACATTACACACACATCACACACTCACCACACCACACACACACCATAGATACCGTACTTACCACACCACACCTACAAACACACCACAGACACTATGCAAACACCACACTAACCACATCACACACACACACATACCATAGATACCACACACTTACCACACCACATATATACACACACCAGATACAACACCACACACACACCCACGCACATGCGCACACACACCACAGATTACAGGCTGTTTTACTCTACGCTAACAGATTCGTCAGAGATTAGAAACAAAACAAAAGCAGGCCCACCCTTGGCTTTGAAAGGCTCGTTTTCCCTTCCAGGTATTATATTGACGCCTGCCTTTCCCGTACACATTTTAGGTCAGCCTGGGGTGACATCTGAGGTTTATCCCACTTGCCACCTCTTCCATCATAAGTGAAATACAGAAATGGCAGCTTAAAGGGACATTTCCTGTGTACCAGTGGAGACTTGGATGATACTGGGGACCATCTCCTCATGTGATACCAACAGCAGAGGCCTCAACCCCTGTCCCCAGCAACATCTATGAAAATATGTACATAAAAATACACATAACCAACCACAAATGCAGCCAGTGACCATCATAACCCCATTAGTTAAGCCTGGAGGGTTGGTTTGGCTACCTGAACCTACAAGTCTGGTTTGGAAGTCAACCAATTTGCTATCAATCATGACATTTATCAACAAGTCCTTAATAGAGAATCCAAACAAACAATTGCACTTGCCATGCAGAAAAAAAAGATTTAAAAAAAAATAGGTTAAAAGAATCACATAAAATTTTCCTTTAGAACAACTTAATAGAATGCTATATTTTTATTCTTTGTGCTAATGCTTACAAGTTGATGCTGAACATTAAACAGACACACTATTTTGATCTCTTGTTTTTATGACTTTTGAATTATAAATACTAATTTTTAACATAAGACATTTAAATTTATCATTTAAAAACTGGTTTCGTCACTAATTTCTAGGCAGTGACTTTAATGGATTCTCTGTATTGGAATATATTCATGAATTTGAAGGAGATGAGTCAAAATTAACATACAATATTGGTAATTTTCAAAACATAACCTCTTTAGCCTGCTCAAGTTTACTTCAAGAAAATGCCAGTTTGAATATTTACTGCTACATTGTAGAGAGTTAGACTTTATTTCAAATATATCAGCTCCAAACTGTGCAAAAGGTAATGTTCTGTGTTTTGTGTGGTGTTGAAATGTAAATTTAGTTAAAAGGATTGCCATTAGTTGAGACTTTATATGCTTCTTAATTCTGCATCAGAAAAACATAACTGAAGAGCAAAGAAAGAATGCTCTATTTTAATAAACATTTTCAGGAGCATATGATTTGAAATGAAAAATTATTTCACTTCAAAGATGATTTCCTAGAGGAAAAATCCATTTTCTCAGAAATGACCAAAGACAGATAAGGAACTGTAACGTCATGGCTGTGATGGTCTATTAATAATCACCAACTTTTCATAAATGATGGAACCAGTGCCTATCTGGGTTGTGCCTATGGTTTATGAACGATGCATAGAAAAGCTGGGAATCCACACCGAATGCACCACAGCCTCTGCACACCGCTGGGCCGTGTCCTTCTGCAGCCCCTCCCTCCAGTGCTAGTCCCTGGCTAGCATCAGGCTCCCGCCCGCATCCGCAGGCCAGCTGCTTTGGCCTGCATCAGTGCTGCAGGGCGCGCCTTGGTCCCCTAGAGCCAACAGGCGGGGCAGGAAGAGTCGCCCCCAAAGCGAAGGCTACCCCCCCTCACACCCTAGATGACCTGCTCCTTCCGACACCACAGCTCGCCACAGTACCATGACAAGGTAGAAGCAGCTCCGGGCGCAGGCGAAGGGCTGCTCTGGGCCTGGGTGGGGCCGGGCGGGGGCCGCAGGCGCCGGGTGGCTGTGCCAAGCCCTGCCGGAGAGAAGCTAGGAGGCTGCGATACTGCTGCATTGTGCTGCATCACGGTGAGGGCACCGTGAGCCATCCATCTTGCCAAAAACGCACATCCCCGCCCAAAGAGCCCGTACCGAATCCATTTTCTCTTCTGCTGAAGCACTCCCACACATCCCTCTCCTCACTATCTGCTCTGGCTTGACTGCAAAAATAACGGGCAATGCTTTCCGTAAGCCTCCCCCCATTCGATGGCAGCACCTGGCACCTCTCCTGTCACAAAAACAAAGGGAAGGCTCCCCCGAAGCGGCTGCCGTGAGCCGGTGACCAGAGGCGTCCAGCCCACCTACCCTAAGCAGGGCCCGAGGGTCCTCGCGCCCGCACTAACCTGTTGAAGGCCGGATGGCAGGAGGCGAGGGCGGGCGCGGCGCCCCAGGGCGGCTCCCCCAGCCCTGCGCGGGCGCGGGACTGGGCGAGGCGGGGGCGGCGGGGCGCGCTGGGCTGCAGCAGCGCAGCCCGGACCACGCCGGCCGCAGCCCCGCACCGTTACGCACGGAGATTAGAAGAGCCCCTGGGAGACCCCACACTCGGCACCCACCCCGTGACAGGGCCCACGACGGTCAGTGGCAGGCGTCCTCACTGCGGAGCCCGCCGCGCCCCGAGGGCCCGCTCCCCGCCCCCACGGCCTCCGGGGCGCAGGGCAGCAGCCGCGTCACGCGCCCCGGCCCGCGCCCCTTCTCCGCCCGCCCGCCCGCACACAACCTCGGGTGAGTTGGCATCCTCCCGCCTCGGACCCCGACCTACCTCCTGGGGTGGGGTGGGGGCGCCGGGGTCCCGTCCTCCTCCCGCTCCTCGGCGGCCGGGCGGGTGGGCCGGGGAGGCGACTCCGCGGGGCTGGCGGCGGCTGGGGCCGGGGCTCACAGGACGGGACCAGTGGGCGCTGCTGCGCGGGGCTGCGCGCTCGCTCCGGGAGGAGAGGCGGCCGGGGGAGGGACTGGAGGAATCCGCAGCCCGAACGGCGACAGCTGCACTGATTCCGGGGGCTGGGCGGGCGCGGGGCGGGGAGGAGGGAGGAGAGAGCGCGCGGGGCGGGGAGAGGGGCGCGGGCGCGGCTAGGCTCGGCGTCGGGAGCGCGCGCACGCCTCCCGCACCTCCCGAGCTTCAGCTGCTCCTCCCTGTCGCGCGCCCTCCGCCCTGCGCGCAGCCCTGCAGCCAGGCAGCCGCCCACCCAGCGCGGGCTCGGAGGCAGCGGGGAACGGCGTGTGCGTGCACGCTCTCCCGAGCTCCAGTGCTTTCCCGGCCCTGGGCCGCGCTCCCTGCGACGGGGTCTGGCCTGGGCGGGGTAGGTAAGGTTGCAGCCGCCACCGCGGGAGCCATAGGACAATGGGGGCTTTTGTCCCTGCATCCATCGAGGGCCAAATACACGTTTAATTTGAGGCTAATTCGATTATCGCCATGGAAAAAGACAGGCTAATTTTCTCGGTTACTTGTGCAGCCTCTTCTCGCCCACGATGGTCACCTTTAGAATGCAATGGCGAAGGAATTGCACCGGGAGGTTTGGGTGCGTCGTTGGCTTGGTTTGAGCTCAGTGATGATGTCCAGCTTGGAGATGGGTGACGGTGACCTCTCCGAGGGAAGCTTTGGGCGTTGGGGCCAGTCACGCGTATTTCTTCAAGCGGTTAATGTATTCTTCCATGGTGAACGCTTTCATCCCCCCCCCCCCCCCCCCCCCCCCCCCCCCCCGTCTCCCCCCCCCCCCCCCCCCCCCCCCCCCCCCCCCCCCCCCCCTCCCCCCCCCCCCCCCCCCCCCCCGGGTAGTTGGCAATAGTCTGCAAGTAGTTTATCCAACTCCTGCTCATGGCTAAGCGCAGGCTCGACTTTAACCTGAGGCCAGGTGCTCTGTCCTGGATCTTTGCAAGTGAGGTTTCCTGGCTGCTGGGAGGACCCCTGAGATGGCGTGAAGATTGGAGTTCTCCCACCTCCATTTTCTGACACTAGACTTTTTTTTTGTTGTTGTTGAATTTATGTCAACTGCCCTTCACAAACCAGCCCACTGGCCACCCTGTCATCTCCCAGGCTGTGCAGAAATCCCGTAACTGCTCTAAAGTGATTAAAGGAATGGCGAATCATCATGACTCCGAATAGAAATGCTCTTTGGGGAACAGGATCCGGACACACTGGCTTTCTCCCAGTTCTGTAAGACGCCCAACACAGCACCGTGGACCTTTCAAGGGAAGTTGGTCCTTGGCTTCAAAAGCCAAAGGCAGTGTTCCCTAAAGATCTGCCCACCTGCTTAAAAAAAAAAAAAACTCTCTGGGGTGATGGCTGCATATTTTAGTGTTAAAACAAAATTCAGTTGTCGCAAGCCACTGAAGATGATTGTTCGTGTTTGGGGCCTTACTATTGGTTTGGATTTCTTACCAATGTTTGCTTTTGATTTACATGCAAAAAGTTGAGGAAGGCAAGTAATTTAACATTTTTTTCTCAGAAGGCTGATAATGCAGCCAGGAGGTCAGTTCCTTCAAGGCTAGGATTCTTTGTCTATTTGTTCTTTTGAACCGTTTGTTCACTTAAGAGGTTCTAAAAAGTATTTGTTGAACTGAATCAAACAGAATCCACATGGAAGCTACTACCCTTATTGAGTAATGAAGGAAATCCACTAGAAATGAAAGTTGTTTCCCTTTCATGGGTCTATTGGGGGGGTAGGCATCACCCCACCCTCACTGGGTGGAAACGACCACGTCAATACTGGGAAACGCCCCACTTCACATTCCTCCAGAGCGATTGTGAAATGGTACCATCTAAGTGCTTCCTTCATCCCAGGTCCTTTAAACACATCCCTTGGTGGATGACTCATCTCCTCTTCCCCATTCCACTCCCACTTAAGTCTTATTCTGTCTTCAGGAAGGAGCCCCCTGCCCTCCACAACCAGTAATTAATCTGAAGAAGACGTGAAAGGCATGGGTTCAGACTCTCTCTATAGACACTACTTGCCTCGCCGTTCCAAACTCTTCTGATGGAAAATAAAAGTCACCCAGGAGAGACCAGTTCTGGACCTGGAGATGTTCTTTAAGTTGACATCTCTGAAAAAGGCAAATACTTAGTGTTGTTCTTTTTTAAAAAATGCTGCAAGATCCCCAGTGGCAGTAGGCAGCAGAAATGCTGTAGGTCCCAAATGGTGGTGGCGGGCCATGTGGTGGCAGGCAGCGGGCTCTGGGAGCAGCCAGTCCCAGGCATAAATGGCTGCCGGCCCCAGAGCAGTGGCCTGAGCGGTGGTGGCGGGCCATGTGGCGGCAGACAGCGGGGGCCCTGGGAGCAGCCAGTCCCAGGCAGAGAAGGCTGCTGGTCTCAGAGCTGTGGTGGCAGGCCATGTGGCAGCAGGCAGTGGGCCCCAGGCAGAGATGGCTGCCGGTCCCCAAGCAGTAGCTGGTCCCAGGCAGGGAGACACATGGCAGGCGGGCAGAAGGCAGAAACATGGATAGACAGAACATGCAGGGTGAGGTTGAAGTTTATTCAGGGGGTTATGGGGGGAGCCAAAGTAAGAAATCCATCTTAAACCGGTCAGATACCCCCTCAATCCCCTGGTCCTAAAATTTTTTACCTTAATTTAACTTTGTTCTTTGTTCTGCCAATACCTTAGGGACACCAGACATTCCCATGCCACAGACATCGGTTCAGAAGCAAAGAGACCAGCTATGCCAGGATGTTCCCAGCCTTCTTCAGGTCCGCCCCCCCCCCACGACGCCCACAAATCAGCAGGAAGCAGTTTTGAGAATTCACCGCCCAAATTCCTTCAAACTGTGGTGTCTAATCTGCTTTTTATTATAAGGAAGACCTGGGAATGTTATGGTTTTGGTCCCTTTAAGAGACAAGCCACGCCCACTCCCTCCCCCATCCGCTGAGGCAGGCTGATCTCCAGCTTCCGGCCTGAGCTCGCTCTCTTTTCCATCTTCCTCTCGGAGAGGCAGCTCCGCTTCCCCCCTTCTCTGTCTCTTTCTCCTCTTCTCTCTCTCTCTCTCTCTCTCTCTCTCTCTCTCTCTCTCTCTCCCCCCTTCACCCTTCCTCCTCCTTATCCCCTGAATAAACATTCAACCTCACCCTGCATGTCGTGTCTATCCATGTTTCTGTCTTCTGCCCGCCCGCCATGTGTCTCCCTGCCTGGGACCAGCCATTGCTCAGGGACCAGCAGCCGTCTCTGCCTGGGGCCCACTGCCTGCTGCCCCATGGCCGGCCACCACCGCTCTGGGACCGGCAGCCGTCTCTGCCTGGGACTGGCTGCTCCCAGGGCCCCGCTGTCTGCCGCCACATGGCCCGCCACCACCATTTGGGACCTACAGCATTTCTGCTGCCTACTGCCGCTGGGGATCTTGCAGCATTTTTTAAAAAAGAACAACACTTAGAAAAAAAAATTTAAAACTTTAGTTAGTGGTGGTGACAACTCAGAGTCTCATCAGATAGCTCAGAAGCAGTTCTGTAGATGTCTATCTTTACATTAGAATTAAGGTTGATTGAAAGGAACCTAGGATTTATCATTATATCTGTAACATAACTACTTTACATTCAAAAATACCCTATGATTATATATGACTGTGTCTTCCAGAGAAACAATATGCCATTTGTTGTTGTTTTTTGAGACAGGATTTTACTTTATTGCTAAGGCGGTCTCAAACTCACAGCAACACACCCACATTAGCCTTTTGAGTGCTGGGCTTACCAGCGTGAGACATGATGCCCATTAGAAATATTTTATTATCAAAGTTTTGCAGAGAGGTTAGTGATTTAGCTCTGTGCCTAGGCTTACTCTCCAGCGGGAATGGGAGGCACTCAAAATCACAAAAGCCATGCTGATGTAAATTGTCATTTTAACTTGCCACTTAAAATATGGAGGGGATGTTAAGATCTGTTAGTAACTGTAGACTGTGTTGTAGAGCGATAACATGAAACTTCCAGATCTTAACATACGGGTCCCTAAATCAGCAAAGGTTAATGTATTGCTTTATAAAGTCAAGTCTGGAACCAAGAGTCTTTCTGGGGCAGCTGTCTTCCATGTTCCAGCTCAGATTCCAGGGTACTTTAATGTTAGGGTGCCTCATGTCAGTGAGTGCTTCTGCACCACGGTAAGGGAAGACTGTGCCAGCAACTAACCAATGACACGTGGTCCCTTTCTCCCTCTTTCATATGCCAAAGTAAGTCATGTGACTGCGCCTGAACCCATGTCTGTGTAAACAAGAAGATTGTCTACTACAAACATTTGGTTTAGAAAAGAACAGTATTCTAATTATTCTTTTGTTATATTAGCCCAAGTAGAACCTATCTTTTATTATACTGACCTTAGCCTTAAACTTGAAAATCAGAACAGGTTTTAAAAAAAACCTGAATAAATTTTTTTAATTTTTTATTTATTCTTATACTTGTCCTTTTGTTTGTTTGTTTGTTTTGTTTTTTTAAACTCCTATGAAGTGTGGGAAGTTTCCTCAGCATCAAAATGTTTTGAGGTGTCCAGTGTGGGAGCACAAGCCTGTGCTCTTGGGAGCATGTGGGACTTGGAGGCAGGAGGACCAGGAGTACAAGGCAGTCTCTGCTACTTAGCAAGTTTGAGGCTAACTTAGGCTACATGAGACCCTGTCTCAAAAAAAAAAAAAAAAAAAAAAAAACCTAAAGACCTATGTCCAAACCACCACCCTGAATGAGCACCTTTTGGCACTAAATGCATAATAGCTGCCATAAAGTAATATATTAAATATATACCTAGAAGAGAGTAATCTGTGTTCTAAAAGAGAGCAGTGGGCAGTTTTTTTTAAAAAAATTTTTAAATTTTTTAATTTTTTTTGAATTTTCCGTTGTAGTGAGTAAGAAATCTGATTATATGGTAATATAAATATAAAGGAAGTTTATAACAAATCAGAATAGTCTCAAGTTTCTATTAAACATTTCTGGTTTTATTTGAATTGAATATGATTAATGATAATCATAAATAGCAACTAGTAAGGCTTTACCAAGAGTCTAATAACCAAAACTTAGAACTCTTAAATAACAAAATCCCAGCTCAAAATGGGCAAAATATCTGAATCTATCTTTCATCCATGTTCTATATGTGTCCAACAAGCTCCTGAAATAGGCTCAACTTCATCAGCTATGAGGGAAATGAAAATTAAAAGCAATAGAAAATGCCTCGTACCCATTAGGATAGCTGTAATCAAAACAATAAAAAGAAAACAACAAATATTAGTGACAAAGTGAGGTGTTGGGTGCTTTATTCATTGCTGGTAGAAATAAAAAAAAAAAAAAGCAGCCAGTGCGAAAAAGTCTAGCAGTCTCCGAAAAAGCTAAAAGCTAAAAGTACAGTTTCTACATGACAACCATCCCAGTAGAAGTGAGAGCAGGTAGTTAAGGAAATACTTGTGCCTAATATGAATAACTGGTATTATTCATGATAGCCAAAAGTTAGAAACCGCCCCAATGACCACAGAGAAGGAGTAAACAAGATGTGTTGTCTAGACAGTGGGACACTGTTCAGCCACAGTGAAGGCACGGGGTACTGACGGTATGTATGCCATGCTGTGAATGAACCTGGAAAACACTAAGTGAAAGAATCCAGATAAAAGGTCACGTGTTATATTATTGCATTTATATGAAATGTTCAAAATAGACAAATCCATGGAGGTGGAAATCAGATTTGTGGCTCTGGGTAGAAGAGTCAGAGAGAAAAAACAGAGTATGAACACTGCAGAATGGATATAGCATTGGTTTTATTTTGAAGTGATGACAATATTTTTTTAATTATATAAAGATGGTGATTTTGTAGTCTCCTTATTAAATGAAATACTGCCGAATGTTCACGTTCACCCACGTGTGGTGATGCACACTTGCAATCCCAGTTCTCAGAAGGCCGAGGCAGGAGGATTGCCAAGAAGCCTGGACTACATATGAGCTCAAGTCCAGCATGCTATCCCAATCCTATAAGCACACAAACAAATAAACGTTAAAAATAAAAGATGATGGTAATTTTTGTTTTATGCATGTCATTTAAGATGTTAAATGTATTTCAAAAGTAAAATGATTTTAAATGCCTTGCTTTGTATCAGTCTCCAAAAAGTCTCCAGTTTCCGGAAAGTCTTCAGGCTCTTTAGCTTTGCCCAAATCCTCCTCTTGAGACAGGATTTATTGCGGTTTACCTCCCACGTGTGTGCTAACCTATTCCCCTGCACATCTACGGAGAGTTGGCTCTAGCTCTCACAACATGGACACATGCGAGTGATGCTGAGGCTCTAACTGCAGGAATGAAACCAGTCACAAGGATTTCCTGGAATCCCTCTTAAGCGAGTAGCTGTTAAGAATGAAAAAGGAAAGGCTCCAGGTACCGGGACTCCTAGGCCTAGTGCCACATGGCTATGAAGTATTTGAAACGTGGCTAGAATAACAGGGACTTGACTTTCAGTTTCACTTAGTTTTAATGAATTAAACATTTTAACCTAAATCTATTTAACAGTAAATTTTATAAAAATCCATATTAGATTTCAAAGACTCAGTTAAAAAAGAACTAAAATCTCTCAATTTTTTGTTTTGTTTTGTTTTGCTCTTTTTGTTTTTCAAGACAGGGTTTCTCTGTGTAGTCCCAGCTGTCCTGGAACTCACTCTGTAGACCAGGCTGGCCACGAACTCACAGAGATCCACTTGCCTCTGCCTCCGAGTGCTGGGATTAAAGGTGTGTGCCACCACTGCCGGACCCCGAATTTTTTTTTATTACATTTTATTTTGTGTGTGTAGAAGTCCATTGAGTGGACTCTGGAAATCAAACGTTGGTCATCGTTCTTGGCAGCGAGCATGCTCACCAGCTGGGCCATCTCAACAGTCCTCAACCCTTAACATTTAGACATATTGAAATGACACGACTGATATAAAAAGTAAAATAAGTTCTGTTTTTAAAAGTTAACTTCACCATTTTATGTTTAAAAATGTAGCGATTGGACGTTTTAATATATATGTGGACTGCGTTTACCTTTCTCTTGGACAATGCTGTTGTCAAATGAGGTCGTCAGTAGCTGAATCCTCAGACTCAGGAAAACTGAAGGAAAGCAACTAGAAGTTGGGTTAACTATAAAGTAATAACTCCAAATGGAGGTCAGATGTCCAAGTCCCAGGTTCTCTGACAATCCCCATCAGCCTCAGTGGCTGTGGGGCAGGGAGTGGGGTAGAGAGTCCGGATGTTTTTCTGTGAACCAAAGAACAGCGTCACTCTCTGGAAGTGTACATAAAACCTTGGCAAGGACAGAGAGCCATTGCTTCAAGATGAACCTCTGTCCCCCAAGTGTGACACAGTTTTCTGGCCATTGTAAAGGGTTTGTGCCTCCAGTTTATTAAAGAAAGTTCAGAGACTCAAAGAGAATCAGAAAAAAGCATTTCTCTACAGACAGCAGAGAAGGTCAGAGGCAGTTTGTTGGAGTATTCCTCAGTCTAGAGCTGTGGTTCTTGGCCTTACTAACAGTTCCTCATGTTGTGGTGACCCCAAACCATAAAATTATTTTTCACTACTGGTTCATAACTGTAATTTTGCTACTGTTGTGAATCATAATGTAAATATCTGATATGCAGATATCTGATAGGCTACTGCTGTGAAAGGGTCGTTTGACCTCCAAAGAGGTCGACGACCCACAGGTTGAGAACCAGTGCTTTAGCCTGAGACCTAAAATTCTGTCTGCTTTGCTCCCTAAATAACACCTTGTATTTGGAATAATCTCTTTTCCATCCTACATCCTACACCTTCTGATGTGGATTAGATACATTGCCACAGCATAAATGTGATATCTCTCTGTCAGAAGATAAATGGACTCCTCCCTCCACACCCCCACCCTGGCCCTCCAGGTTGTTTCTTATGGTTTACGGGCTCTTTCTCTCCTGAGTTCCTTCCTTTACTGATAGGTTAGAGAAAGCACGAGTTTAAGTCCCCTCTCACTCTGCCTTAGACACAGTGG